TAATAATAATAATAATAATAATAATAATAATAACTTGTATTTATATAGCGCTCATATCTTAAACTCATGGCGCTTTACAACACTGTACGGGGGACTTTACCAGATTGCTAAGCAGTTTACAATCAAATGAAAGCGAATATAACAGATGCCCCCTCCCCCCTATTCCCAGTAACTAGGCCAGACCACATCACAGTAATCTCGTGAAGTGGGTTCTTTAACGTCCCCTGCCTAACCAAATTAACTAATTAATAGTTGCAGGAGACGGGACCTCCATTTATTCGTCCGTATCCGAGAAGACTAGAATATCTAACCATTTCTCGATCGATGTTATAGAAAGGTAGCATATTCTTCTCAATTATTTCAAGACCCTGAGTGTTGGTCCGGCCGGGGCTCGAACCCTCGACCTCCCGCACAACAGTCCGGCGCTTAACCAATTGAGCTAACCGGGAGGCGGTTCCTCTGAAATTGTAGAAGAGTTTTTGACCGAACCAATCCCTCTTAGTTTTGCGACACTTGCGTGGGAGTTCTGTGTATCGGATGCGACGAAATTGGCAAGTTTATTTTTGTGACACTTGCGAGCGAGTTCTGTATACGGAACGGTTCATAATGGATGTTTTAATGAATAAAAGACATCTCATTTACCTCGATAACATTGTCCTTGGTAACAGGCGTATTGAGGTCACTCTTTGGCCTAATGTATCCTTTAAAAGGACGATCCTCAGGCACAATTATGTCCACTTCGTCTGGAAAAGGACTCTCCGAGTCTAGCTGCCACAACTGTTCAGGTTTTTCTTTTAGAGTGGCTGGCATTTTGTTCTCATCGGTAAAAGTACTTAAACCTATTGAGGGGAAAGATAATAACAGAACAGAATAAATAACTGCACACATCTGGCAAACTTCTTTTCCGAAAATCACATATCCTCAAATATTCCTGAAAAATACCGACTCCGGATGAAAGCGGTTAACCTTATTGAAAGTATATAGCGTGACCGGGGTGTTTATCTATAGATCTTAAAGCTATATACCTTGAGATATCGAGTACAAGTAAGTCAACAATGGGAATTAACGGTTGACGAAAACAACTATAACGCTTAGTGAAATAAATGCTTTCATTCTGCGTGGGTTTATCACGTAATCAGATCAGGGAAATATGTTCCATTGATTTGTTATGACTGTCTTCTGCCGCGTTTAGCGACTTCTTCACCGTCATTGTCCATAACTTGCGAAGGTTGCAACTCCGCTCCACGCAAACACCTTCTTTCATGCGCCGAATCAAAGTGGGCGATCCCAAGATGGCAAGATAGATCCTTTTACTGCGTCTCGTTCCATAAAAACGGAAAAAAACTCGGCCAATAGCTAGCCATCCTGAACTCCCGCTTGGTCTATAATGCATATATCACGGATTGTTTCAACGTCCTCTTTTGAATGCCTGCGATTTCAGTTCATTAAGTTCAAATTAGAAACAAATATAAAGGCCCTTCATTAAGAAAATTATTTTGTAAATGAACTTTTGAACTTTGAACTTTATTTATTTCGCATTATTAATAGAAGTTAATATACAATGAAAAGTAAGAGAAAGAGGGAAGAATAATAGTAATATTTGGCTATAAAGATAAATTTGAGAGGTGCACAGCGTCCAAAGTAGCAAAGGCTTTCGAGTTGGACACCGTAATGGTCATATAAATAGATAAATAGATAGCAGCCTATAATAAAGGTATGTCAGCAGTAAAGTAAAGAAACTGATTAGGTTTGGTTGAACAAGAGTTGAAGTTTACATGATTCCTTAAGAGTAGATCAGCAGCAGAGTAAAATGATTAGGTTTGGTTGAGTAAAAGTTGATGTTTCCATTCTCTTTTAAAATTATTGTAAGGCATATATTTAAGATAAGCGGGTTCAGTTTCCCATATCTTTGAAACAGAGAATATAAAAGATGATTTTCCCATGTTGGTGGATACTCTTGGTCTAAAAAAGTAATTATTAGGAGCAAATCTTGTATTACAATTATGTTTTTCAGGTGCTGGGGTCAGGATATCAAGGAAGATATCTGGAATGAAACAACTGTTGACTCGTTTGCTCTAACAATTAGGAACGAGCAATAATACATAGAATTGCATAACTGAATAAAATCTCGCATTCTGATTGGCGAACGGAGGGAGGTATTTAGCGTGGAATTGCGAGTTGAAAATAAGGCTGAATGATAATGTTTCGCTTCTCTCGTTTCGCGTTCAGGATAAAAACAATTCAATTATGCAATTCAAGGAAAATCCCCTACCTAACTGACGAGTTCCGTCTTAAGTTGCATTTGAAAGCCGATATCGCACTCACCGCTCAGCAATTTTTACGATTTCGGTTTTCGTAGGCAATATATATATCTTTTCATAACGTTTCATAACCGCAGTTCATATATATGTATTTCATATGTTTGTTGTTTGATTTATCATCTTACGGGTTTATGTCGAATTAATTTGATGGCCTGCTCCCAGTTGGCTTGTTAGCTCAATTGGTAGAGCGCTGCACTAGTATCGCAGAGGTCAGTGGTTCGAATCCCGTACAGGCCTGAATTTTTTTCAGGTCTGATTTTCACTATTGCTTAAATAGTGCTTTACTGCGAAGGATCGTGCACATATACGTTTCATAACCGCAGTTCATATATATGTATTTCATATGTTTGTTGTTTGATTTATCATCTTACGGGTTTATGTCGAATTAATTTGATGGCCTGCTCCCAGTTGGCTTGTTAGCTCAATTGGTAGAGCGCTGCACTAGTATCGCTCAACAGGCATCAAAACTCTTGAACGTCACATTTTCTCGCAAGTAGCACGATAATTATTTTTCCCACGGAGAAGATGATTCATGTAAAACACAGTCCATTATTTGCTTGTCTGAAATGACGTCATCGACTCCTTCAAAGTCTTCCATTTGCTCAGTAGCAATCATGACATCTGCATCATCATGCTGTTCACTAGTCCAAGATAAGCTAAAAAAACTGTCTATGCTCTTAATCATTTTCAGTGCGTTTGTTCAGAGTTAATATTCTGGCTGGCAAATATAGCATTTGAGGAGACGTTTAAGCTCGTGACGCTGAACTAGCATATCAGCTTCTGCTGAAATTCGACACTTTCTCATGTTATTTGAGTCCTAAAATCAAGATATCAAATCTCAGCAGCCTAAAAAAGCGTTTGAATACCTTGAATACCTCACTGAATTACTTCTTCAAACTTTCCTTTTCAGTAGTCCCCCGAGAGCTTAATACACCAAGAAGGTCACTGACGAAGGGCTAACGCTTAAAACGTCAGCTTTGAAAGTACTTACGGTGGCCAAATTACGTTGTCAACTCAGTCGATAAAACCCAAATTACTTTGTAACTCCCACCGACGCAACACCTTAGCATCTTTAGAATTTTGCTCCCTTTAACCGGAAGTTACATTGTTGTTCTTTACACTAACGATTTTCAAAACTCAAGAGGTTCCTAACTTTCCTATATTACTCCCTAGATGGCCGAAAATACTTGTCATCGTGTGATCAAGAGAGTTTGGAGATCATACACCAGTGACCTCGATATAGCACCAAAAGAGGAAGGAATCTATACCATAGGGTATAAGGGAAAATATATTTACGTGGGTCATTCAATCGACATCCAAAGACGGCTCAAGCAATCTAAGAACCAAAACTTGAAAATTGATAAGTTTATTAGAAAAAAATTAAGGTCAGATGGCGGGAAAAATCTAGAAGTCAAATGGGCACCTGAGTCCGAAAGTACCTGTGCTGAGGGTCAGTACCTTGATTGTAATGAGAAGAAACTCAGGTATCGGCTAAAACACAACATGAAACGTGGTAATACATGCAAACGAACTCGTCCTGCGCATCTGAAACAAAAGAATAAAAAATAGCCTTTTGATGTGTTCC